CAGCGGGGATCCGCACGTGGATCCGCTCAGGTGCTCCGGGGCCGCGGTGCTGCCGCAATGTCGGCCGGGCAGGACCCACGGCTTGCTTTCATGGAGAGCTTGGTCACGGCGTTGCTGCGCATCTCGACGGACAAGTGGGGCAAGTTTGTGAGCAGCGAGGAGGTCACGACCATGCTGGACAAGTTCTTCAAACAGCAGGATGCGCTGGAGGTGGTGTTGGGGCTGAACCCCTCCGGGCAGCTCCTGCCCACTACGGGTTTCCCATCTGCCCTAAAGAGCAAGGGCATCTACTTTGTGAAGAAGAAGGGGGAGAACATCACCCAGGAGAACTGCCAGAGCGGTCTGCTGGTGGGAGACATTGGCCCCTCGCCTGTGGAGCAGCTCATCGCCGTGCTGCTGGAGGTGGGTTGCCCGCACAGGCACAGGTGGGACGAGTGGGATGAGCTGAGCTCCCCGGGCACAGTGCTGTGCCGGGATGTCTGGTGCAGGCTGCTAAAGCCAAAATTCCAGGTGGTCTCCAAAGGAAACTGAAATTTATAGAAAAAACTTGCCCCAGGCAGTGGCCCGGACCTTTCAGCGACTCCTGTGGTAGGCTGAATGAGCCCCACCAGGACAAGAGCTGGAGGAAGGTCACCAGCCCAGTTTTCTCCTGGGCCCAACTAGATCACTTCCTCCCTGTGGTTTTAGAAACTCATTGTAATGTCCCCTCCCCCCTGCCCCACATCTGGGAAATTTCTGAGTGGATTTCTCTCAAACTTCCCACGAATATTCCCACTGCCAGCCCAGAGTACCCGAAAGTTGCATTGGCCGCGGGAGCCCCCATGATTCCCCTGCAGTGCCGGGGGCTTTTGCCTGTGTTCCAGCCCCTGACCCCGCTGGGTGCTCTCACTGTGCCACTCCCAACACTTCCCAGCCCATGAGAGCTGGAAACCCAGACCAAGGGGACTCCTGGTCACACTGATGACAGAAATATCAGGAAAACCCATTGGTGGCCGCTGGAGCTGTGGCAAGGCTGAGACTGTGCTGTGATGGGCAGCGAGAAGGGACACTGGGACGGGCAGCATGACCGCCCACTGCCCTGAGCACGGGAGTGCCTGAGAGAGCACCCAACCCAGCCTTGTCCTCCAGGTCGTGTCCCCCCTGCTTCTGAGTGAGGAGCAGGGGCTCAGCTGGCCCAGGATGGTGGTGGAGGATGTTGTGCAACAGACCCACCAGCTGCAGAACAAGATGTTTATGATGGGCGGGAAGATCCAGGGGAAGCCGCTGCTCCCACTGCCTGAGCACCTGATCAGCTGGGACAACTCCGGCGCCGCCTTGGACTGGTGGGTGCTGCTGGCACCATTTGGTGCCAGAAAGGGCAAACAGGGGCCCAGGCAGCACAAGTTCCTCGGGGAGGAGGAACTGGGACACTGGCTTAGTCCCTGCACACCCCTGGGCACAGCCACCCCTGCAGCAGAGAAGGTTTGAGGGGCCCATGCCAGGCCTCTGCACAAGCAGGCACGAGGGGCTCCCCTGGCTGTTTGGGGTTCCCCTGGGGCAGTTTATGGCTCCTCTGGGGCATAACCTGTCTGCCTTTCAGCCTGGTGGGGCCTGCAGACGGTCCAGTGCTGCACTCCATCGAGACCGTCATCGTCGAGTGGTCCCAGCAGATTGAAGAGATCTTGAGCCAGGACTCAGCACGGCTGCTGCTGGAGGGAGTGCACCCCCTGCCCAGGGTCGAGTTTGAGTTCTGGCAGACGAGGATGGCCAACCTGCAGTGTATCAATGACCAGGTACTGCCTCACCCGCAGTGGACTCCCCGTGCTGAGCCCCCCGTGCTGAGCCCCCTATGCTGAGCCTGCCACCTCTCCTGTACCAGCTGCTCTCGCCCCAAGTGACAGTGCTGGCCAAGACGCTGGAGAAGGCCAACAGCTGCTATTGGCCATCATTGCAGAACATGTTCAAGGCCGTCAATGCTGGTGAGGCCCCCCAGTGCCATGCTGGAGGGGTGGGGACCCTGTTCCTCAGTGTTCAGCTGGATGTGGTGGTGGCTGCCTCTGACAGGGTGTCCCCATCCTGACCCAGAGTTTTCTCCCTGTCCCAGGCCTGGAGGAAGCCAAAGATGTCAGCCTCCATCTGCAACCGCTGCAGGTGCTGCTGGAGGAGGTGGAACAAGCGGATTATTCCCAGGTAAGTAATGTGGCAAAATAACCAGGCACAGCCTGGCTGCCTCATCTGGGTGGTGGCGCAGAGCCCCAGAGGCTGCAGGGGGGGCACATACCCCCAGCTCTGCCACGTCCCCACACTGATGGGGCTCTGCTCCCACAGCTGCAGCCCTTTGTGCCCAAGGTGCTATGCACTGTCTGCCTGCTCCGGGTTCACTGCCAGCTCTACCACTCACCCGCCCACGTAGCCCGTGTCCTGCAGGAGATCTGCAACCTCCTCATCACCATGGTACAGCCCCAGCACCGACCCACATCCCTTCCAGCTGCCCCACTGGGACAGGTGTGGGGAGTCCAGCTGCAGTGACACAGAGACACTCCAGACAAGGAACAGCAGAGGCCCTTGTAGGGCTGGGGGGGTCTGGGGCAGGCACAGGCTGCAGGTGGCAACCAGCAAGGCCATGGGGATGAAGGGGACAGGAGGAGCCTTCACACCCTCCTGACAATAGTCCCTGCCTGCATCTGTCTGTCCCAGACCCAAAAGTTCCTGAGCCCTGAGGACGTGCTGAAGGGGCTGCAAGGAGAACCCCAGGAGACCCTGGAGGGAATCAAACTGAGCATCTCCACAATAGAGAAGTTCTTCCAGTCCTACAGCACTTACTGCTCCAACCTGATGCCCACGTTGTTCCCGGTGAGTGTAGGGACAGTGTGCAGGCACCCGGCCCCCTCCACACTGACCCCACTGACTGACAGACCCTTTCCCCTCCCAGGAGGAGCCACAGCTGTGGGAGTTCCCTCCCACCCGTACCTTCAGGAGGATGGACGCCTTCTTACACAGGCTCAAGACCATCGAGGTGACAGCACAGCATTTTGGGGCACAGTGCCAGCTGCAGCTGGGCCTTCCCTGCCATGGGGATCCTGGGGTGGTCCTTGAGAGCAGCACCGGGTGAGCTGGGGCCGCTGATGCAATGGGACATTGCTGGGAGCATTGTGGCACCATTCCCAGCAGAGCCCTCCTGGCCCTGAGCCCCCAGCACAGGACGGCCACCCCCCAACCAGGCCAGGGAGCATCCCTGGGAGAATGGTCTTCAGGAATGGGGCATGGGCAGGATGGAGCCCTGTGCCAGTGCTGCAGCTCCTGCACCTGCAGCCTGGGACAGGGGGAGCCAAGTGAAATGGGGGTTTGTGCTTGCCAGGAGCTGTTCCAGGCAGCCATTGACTTCCTGAAGCTGGAGAAGACAGTTCTGGGAGGGGTGCGAGGAAACTTCCTTGGGAATTGGGTGTTGCGGATCTCCGAAGAGGTCTGTGAAGTCACCAAGAGTTTTGCTGATTGCAAATATGATCCCTTGGATCCCAATGAAGAGGTGAGCAGATGCTGGGATGGAAATGTAATGGATGCTGGGATGGAGGTGTAGACATTTACTAAGTGAGAAGAAAAAAAATCTCTTGCCAGAACACACTGCAGGGCAGCCCATGGGACTGTCCCACAGCAGCAGAGGGCTGGCTCTGGGGCAGGTCATGGGGCTCTGGGCCCTCCAAGTTTAGCAAACATTTCA